AATTATAATTCAAATCATTCTAATGCAGGGAAGAAAAAATAATGGCGTCCTCTGTCTCTCTTGCCCATATATATAAAATCAACTGCTCATATATGTAAAATCAGCTGGTGCCCAGTACCTTCAAAACAAAAGCATACAAACTAACTCAAAATAACTAAAATAATAATTCCAAAGGTATCATTTTCAAACAAAACGGAAAGCTAAATTCAGAGACGTTTAATTATTTTAACAAAGTGCTCCAACAACCCATGTCAGAAAATGTGTACACTTGTAACTACATCTGTGCAATTAAGAAAAAAGATAAAACCCTCACACAAAACAAAAAATTGGGACAATGTCTCACCCTTTTCTGGTGTTTTTAGCAACTTCCCAGATAAATGAGACTCTCATTTATTCTCCCCAGAGGACGTAAACGGCTGCAGTGGTCTGGTTCTCTAATATGTTGAACCATCAGTTTCATGAGGGAGCAGTGATGCTGTGTGAAGAGCCTGCGGGGCGTGCACTGCTGCAAAGCCTGAATCGGTTTTATATTAAAGTCAGTGTCGAACACAGGCACCGTTGATTAAAGGAGTCAGACTCACGGTGTCCAAGGACGGAAGATGAACTTGCTAAATGAAGTGAAACAAAACTACAGATGAGTCATGTTTTGGAGATGAATGAAAAACATGACATTGAGCTCTGAGCCATTCATCGACTCATCTGTCTCCTGCAGTGCTGAGCTCGCTGCTGCTGCAAACAAAACTTTCTGAGGAGCTATTTGGGTTCCACCAAGTGGTCACCTTGAGTAGCAGCTGCTGCACGTTATTTCCTGCTCTTTGATGGAGCTACGAGTTTGCATGAGCTATGGGACATCCTCCTTAACTTGATTACGTCCCACTTTACTGCCTCCCCCAAAATAATGCTCGCGTCCCGTTAATGTAATTGAGTCAAATGATGCAGGCCTGACTCAACAAATGAGGAATTGCAACCAATTAAGCAAATGGACTCGACAGAGCGGACACTGATTAAAATGTTGTTGTGTAACAAGAGAGGGAGCCAATAAGATTCATCTTTTATGTTTTTAAAGATGTCAAACGTGTTTCTCTCTCTCTCACACTCTAACTCAAACCATAAATTAACACACGATCAATTAGAAAAACACAGACGAGTGTAAAAGGTTACAAAACTTTGGTTTAATTGGTATTGCAATCAGCAAAGCAAGGCATTGTGGTCTATAGGTGAAATGTGAAGGCAGCTCAAGAAGAAAATATAGAGAAGTCATCAAGCAAAAAAAACTCATGAAGTCGTCTGCAGAGTGAAGACGGAGCTTGATGATGCTGTGATGTTTCTGCTACTCGCCTCCGCACAGCTCCAGCAGGATTTTGCGGTAGTCGCCAGATGTGTCTCCCTGTACACGGTGAGAAAAGAGCTGTGAGACTTCAGAGGACTGGTGGTGGGAATAACAGCAACCATAGCCTGAAGCCAAAATTATGATGATCTCTGGGAGTCCGAACAATCTGGTCTTGACAGTATCCGGATCTTGTCTTTCTCGTATGAAGAGCGCAGCAGCGAGCGGTGGCAGCTGGCTAGAGCCTTCCAGAGGCAGGACATACATCACGTGCTTTTGTTTACAGCACAGCGACACCAGCCTCCATCTTCGTTGGAGCCTGCCATGTGTAAAGCATCCTGAGATATTTGTAATTCTATTTTGCGTCTGTCATGTGTTATAAATGTCAACGTGCCCCCTCGCTTGCTGTGATTTCTCTGCACAGTATCCCTCTGTGTTCTCACATGGGCCCACTCAGAGATTCTCCTGAGTTTTAGCCGGGAAACTCCGGAGAATATCTGCAGCAACTGACTCGGACATGTGCGTTTCACATACAGCCCCTCTCAGCTTTAGTCTCATCACGATAAAGCATCAAATAAACTTTGAGAGAATTGTATGTATCATTAAAACACAGCTGATGTATTGCAAACCCGTTTGCTGACTACCATACTTCCCCGCCCCTCGTATCCGGCGCTCACCTTGATGAAGGAGTGCAGAGTCTTGCCGTACATCTTCAGGAACTGAGCCTTAATGTCCAACATGTCAATCTCAGCCCTGGCGACCATAATTCTGATGAGGACACTGTCTGTGGTGCCCAGCCCCTGACAAGACAGAGAAACTATCTTTATACTGTGATAACATCAGTCTTTTATTATCTGCAGTGCACAGTAATTCTGTTAATTCATAACTCTGATTGCCTGTATATTCAATGATGCTGATAGAAGGAAGAATCACATTAATTAAATCA